CCAGCCTTCCACAGTGTGAATTAGGACTTTATCAAATGTGTTTCCTTCAGTAACACTTAATCACCAAAAGCCATAATGTGACCACAAGGTAGCTAAAACAAAGATTTAACATTTCTAAATATTAAACTTGTTAAGCAAATGTTCAGCAGACAAAGCAAGCACAAACAATTAAAGTCATCAAGCTAGAAATACGCACTCCCTACTTACCAATACAGACCCTACTGCTTGCTTAAGAAGTTTAGAATCTTTCAAGATAAATCAGGTGGGTTTTTTAAACAGAAAAAAAAAGGAAAGAAGAAGAGGAAGAAGAAAAAAAAAAACTCCAGTAATAAGGAGTTGAGTTTCACTTGTGAGAGAATCACTCCTAGTGAGGACTGACGGCCACAGATCCATTCCTGACTATCTGCATTAATTATTTAATGAGTCACGTGACCATAAAGATTAAAATTTCAATATCTCCAGCAAAACAGGCGCAAACACCTTTAGCTGCCAGCGCAGTGCTCCTCGGGCCCGGGTGCCCCCATCTTTGCTGCCTTTGACAGTTCCCCGACTCCTGGGGAGCCGCGGATCTGTCCGGATTCGTAGCGAAATGGGGCAACGCTGCTCCCCCCGAAAAAAAAAAAACAGCCCTTCGAATCCAGACCTTCGTTCAGCAGCGTGTGTTAACACGGGGGCGGGAGCAGGGGGGTACTTAACACTCATGGCACGGGAAAATAAGGTCGGATCGGGGACGGTGCCCCGGGGGCTGCCCTGCCAAGCGTAGGTCAGGATTGCATTGCGCGGGTCAGGGTTGCCTTGCGCGGGTTAGGATTGATTTGCGCGGGTCAGGGCTGCTTTGCGCGGGTTAGGAGTGCCTTGTGTGGGTCAGGATTGCCTTGCGCTAGCCCTGCGGAGCCGGGGGCGCAATTGGCCGCGGAGCACCCCGTGTTCCCCGCACAGGCCCGCGCAGCGCCGGCGGCCTCCCCGGGAGGCGCGCAGGGCTGCGCAGAGCCCGTCCCGCCGCGCGAGCCTGACAGGGTCCCTGCCTGTGCGAGAGCAACCCGATCCTCCGCGTTTGCACACTAAGTGTCCATGGAACACCCAGCAGCCCGGAAATACTTTTTTTTTCTTAAAAAAAAAAAAGACCAAAAAAAGTCACAGCCTTGGGTAACCCTCCAATGCGGAATGTCTCTAGTTATTAAATACCACAAGGTGCTTGTCACAGCTGAGTTCCTCCTGTAATAAAACACCAGGTATAGCAAGAGATTGTAGGAGAAACGAAGAGGGAGACCTTGGAAAAAGACAATTTTTCTTGGGAGGGGGGTGAAGGGGAGCTGGGTGACGGGGCTAGCGATGCTAGTGTGACTCCAGGAGGAATTAGCCTTTCTTTGAAATATTGACAAACTTCCACTTCCAGCATTTTCGGCCACGCTCGCCTTTGTGGCGGGAGCAGATAAATACGTGTGTGAGACACCGGGAGAGCGAGCGAGAGGCAAGGAAAGAAAGAGACCTTTAGGTCCAAGTGCCAGCTTAAAAAGAATACTGTCTTTAAAGGTCAAGGGTTTGAAGGGTCAGTCTGCTCCTCTAAAAAAAACAATTAATGGGATAGAAAATTTGTCCTCTCGGTGAACTCCTGGTTGCCTTAGCAAAGAGAGCACAATGCGAGAATTTAAACTGGACGATGTAATTTTCCAAGTTATTGTAAGCCGGGCGGTATGGAACTGGGAGCAGAAGGGCTCCCATCCCGGGAGCCACTGCTGGAGGGATAGAGGGGGAAGGGAGTATAAAGGAAAAATTACCTTAAGTGATGATAATCGGCCATGGGATATTTTGCAGTCCGCGGTTCAATCTCCACCGAGTGTGTGTACATTTTTTTAGCAGACAGCCAAGATGCTGTGTCTTTACACATGACCACTTTTTTTTTTTTTTTCCAGGAAAATCCTTTGCGTCTTCACAGACTTTTCCAAGAGAATGCCTTTCAGAACCGCTGTTGAATTACAAAGAAGTATTTATTGTAGGAGGTGATTAATGATTCTCGCTAAAATTGCTATTTGCAGCGTGATTTCATTTCTCTTTACAATGGGAGTGAAACAGGTTTATGCGCATAGGCTGCACACTAAAGAAATTCTGCATTGCCAGATAATATGGTTCAAATCTCCTTTTTTTCCCCTGCTGCGCTAATTTGGGCTAATTTTGACTTTAAGCAAGGGATTCCTCAGCAATAAACAAAGCGAGAGTTACACGACTGCAGATAGCAGTTACTTACAACCGTATATTTCGCTTCCTTTATAAGGTGGCAGCTGGCAGTTTAGGGCTTAGCAAACAGCAATCTGTGAGTGGGAGCACGCTCCTCGGGCCTGCTTGGGGGTCACTTTTGGAGACAGCAGTGTTTGCTAAGTGTATTTGCACCCGCCACATCTTTGATGCTGAACATACTCTGCCAGTGACACGTTACATTTTTCACGGAGGCGGTGCGCACTCCTTGGGCAGGCAGCGATGCTCGCAGTGGTGTTGGGCGGTGTGATTTCTTACTGTGGGGGGAGGTCCTGGTGGGGGGTAAGGTACCCTATCCTGGCTATATTAATCACGTGGGAAAAAAAAATGAGGAGAAAAAAAAATAATAATTCTCGGAGATATTTGAGTGAGCAAAGGTGTCTTGGCCCTTTGCCCTTTGATGGAAGATTTACTAGCACTTGAGACCATTTCTAGAACTTTTCCAACCTAGAGCAGCACTGCTCTCGAGAAGCTGCTGTGAAGTGAAATTCTTGCAGGCTGCTCTGGCCCACGCTCCTCACGGCCTTTCCACTTGGGCCGTGCTCAACAGCGTGAAGCGCAGCCTCCATTGGGAGCGCTGATGCCAGGAGCATCTCGAGAACCTCAACCAAATAAACAGCTTGAGCTCTGCCCAGTTCCTTATCACTGCCGAGGCTCTCCCAACGCATTTAGAAATTGCCTTAAAAAAAAAGAAAAAGAAAAAAAGAAAAAAAAAAGAAAAAAAAAACAGAAAAGACATCTAGAGAAACTAAGTTACCGCCCAAGTATTTTCCCTTCAAAAGCGCTAACCAATTGAAAAAGTCATAATCGGACCAAAATGCACGAATAAATCACGGCTGGCTAAAGATTTAAAGTGTTATCGTGGGGAGCATGTGTGTCTTCTGCTGCAGTAAAATCCGTCATGGGAGCTTGCTGGCTCCCAGTGGAAGCTCAGATTCACTATAACGCAGTCGAAAAGAGTCATATGCACAGAGATGGAGAGACAGAGTAATTCCACCATATAGACGACTAGACGGCTACAAAGAATATCACTCACCTATACGATAAAACAAGACTTTTCCTTGTCCTACATGCTCCTTTTCAGCCAAGGAATTAGGACTAAAGGACCAAGCTTTTTTTTTTTTTTTTTTTTTTTTTTCCCAGTCGATTCAATACCATTACATTATCGACAAGAATGCTCCAAGTTAAAATAATACGTTCAACCGTATTCCTTTCCGTCCCTGGCGCCAACACCAGCAAAGCACAAGGTGTATGAAACAGCACTGAGTGGACTTGTGTTTCAAGCGTTTAATTCTTTTGTACAGAATAATCTTTATTACCAGCATTTGGCACTGTATACATTACACCAAAAAATCCACAAATTGTACATGGACCCAAACGATTTAGACGGTGCCAAATATGAGAACAGCAAGAGCATTTATAGCATTTTTTTTAAATAAATGCGATAGGGAATGTGGAGAAAAACTAATATATCACAGCTACTACGGGGCTACACCTAAACCCAGTTAAGTTACCTTTGATACATAAAACATTTCCTCTTAGGCAGTGTAAGGGGACACTTTTGGTAAGTTTTAGCCGCCGTGTGAACGAGTTCTCTCTCTTCGCGTGCTCGTGTGTGTGCAAACGTGCGTGTGCACCTTCGCACATGCACCCACGCGGATCCGCGGACACGCCGCGAGGGAGCAATGCTGCCCGCATCAGTGCCTTACACAAGTGTCTTACGAGGTCTTTGCTTTGTTTTAACCGTCTTTTAATTTTTAAGTGTTCACTAAAAAAAAGGAAAAAAAAAAGAAAAAAGAAAAAAAAAAAGGTCCTTCTTAGGTACAGAAGATTTGTCCGCAACAGTATCCAGCCACTCTGC